TGTGTTGAATGCAGCAAAAAACTTTCAAATGAGTTTCTAGAAATCTTTCAAATTGCAAAATGGCTTTGCTTTTGTTCATTATAAGCGGTATACGTCGAATATTGTTCAGCATTAAAATTGAATTATAAAATAATTTTCATTTAAAACTTACAGATTCATCTTCAAAAACAAATAACTGAGCTTGCTTTTAAATATGGTAAAAAGAAGTGCTTCCTCCTCCAGTTCAAAAGATTTTACTAATTTTAATCCCTAATTTCACTAATTTTAATTGAGTTTACTGATTTAAAAAACCATCTCACTGGAAACACCGGTCGTCTAGGTATTATCTTTAATATTAGTTTATCTTGGAGACTAAAGAAGTTCTCAAATATGATTTGAACTTGTAGATGACTCTTGAAACGTTTCTTGCCTAAAATCTGGGTTCCTAAAAAATTGAAAAAGAATTTATATCTATCGGAGTGTAAAATGTACAGAATATTTTTTTCGTCTTATAATAATTATGTATTTAAAATACAATGGTGTCAATAAAAAGTTGAGAAGATTTGCAGGGACCTACTGCCAAAAATGTTTGGGGAAGCCCCCTACTTTGAAAAGTTTAAAACAGTTCCCATGTAGGTATGACTAAGATAAGAAAATTATATCAAGAACAGTTAGATACCTAAAACCGACCTATTTCCACGATGAATACGATAGTTAAGAATTAAATTTGCATTGTCGAAAGCCTGACAGGTACGATAACATATAAGGGCGCAATCATTACCCCCAAAAAAAGCTGGGCCACATTTCAGAAATGAAGAAATTGCTGCTTCATTGGATCGAAGATTTCATACAGACGTGGATACTATTATCTGATTATCAAACAGCAAGCAGGTATTTACATAAAGATTCCAGCATCATGAACACGAAGAGTGCATTTAGTCAGCGCTGGATAGCTCAAGCAATTCAAGAAACTTGCATATCTACACATCACCAAAGTCACGGGTAAAGCAACAAGTGCAGATACAACGCTGCTAGTCAATTTCTCGAACTTCTGCAGAAATAATTGAAGAGGGAGAATATTTGCTTGAGTAAATAGTTAATACTGATCAAACAGCCCTTTTTGGAAAATGATACCAACACGAACATTTGTAAGAAGGAAAAATCTATGCCATGATTGTATTGTAAGAAGGAAAAATCTAAGCCGCAAAAGAGTGGATCACTATTACGATGAAAGTAACACTTCAGGGCAGCACTAGCAGGGTCGAGGGCCACACAGAAAGGGGCGCCGATCGTCGGTTTATAATCGTATAATTTTTTATTAATAAGTACGAGTCTGTAAGGAAATAACTGAAAACTGCGATAGAAAAAAATGCAATTATATAATATATAAGTGATATAAATATATTCACTGTAAAATTAAGCTTCTCATTAAATGTAGAAGACATAAAAATTTAAAAATTCGTAGCTTTTCTACCAGTGTCGAGCAGAATGGAGTTTGTGCGAGAATCGGGCATCTGCGGGCTTAGGCAGCAGCATTTGAAATTCATGGACATCGCAAAATAAACATGTTGGAATTTGCATTCCTTCCGCTCGCGATTGCGCTGAGCAGAAAAGGTGAACTATAGTAGCAGCAGTAGATTCTTCCCCACGGGGGAGGGAACGAGTGTGTGGTGTCGACTGTGTGTCCTCCAGATTCTGCTGAAGACTGTGCCAATTCGGGGTGTATGGTCAGTAGCCGTGATTCTCTCGAGCGTGGTGCAGCAATGCGATGCATGGAGTCGTAACATGGAATATCGCAGGTTAAGACTACATTGTAATAGGAATCTAGCCCAAGTATTCAGGATAATTTTTCTACATCGCCAAGTACCTGCCTGTCTGAACTAACTGTTAAGCAGACTCAAATCATGTTATAACAGTCAAGTACATTCGTATGTTGTCCACCGTATAATTTCACTAACGTGTGAATATGTTCATCTATTTTGTTAAACTTAAAGGAAGTCATCAATTAAATCTTATATTTTCAACTTAGTGCAGTTTATTCTCCTTTTAGAAAGAGAACCTTGGTTCTACAAGTACTACTGCGTTTAACTCTCTAGGCCCTTTAAAGAACAAAAAATTTCGAAAAAACACACATATCGTCAAATATCATTTTTAGAATTTGTAGCAGTCTGTCAAGAGTGTTTTGGCGGTTTTGTGGAATTTATTGCATAAATATCCTGAACAGTACATTTTAATAGCGCTCTTAATAACATTCATTTATTTAATTGACTTGTTTGAGCTTCATGAAATATATTTTTTAGCATTTTTTGATAGTGTTAAATCCCTATTAGCCTTTTATTTATATAAAAATTGTAAAAAAGCCAACGAAGTATTCTCTAGGCGATCAACTCTTAAAGATGACAAAATTGAAATTGGCCGATGTTTTTGTGAACATAAACAAACATCACTTTTGAACATCTCTTCTCAAAAACAATTAGCTAGTTAAAGGATATGAATTATGTGGAATCGCATTAAAAATGAACAATTTTTATTACATTTTGAATCTCTGCCTTTATATATAGTTTCTTAAAAGTACAGATTTATTAGTTTTCTCACAGCTGTTAAATCGTAATAGAAAATTAATAAATGGATCAAAACTCAAATTATTATGTTTTAAAAATTTTAAGCTACAGCACGAAGGAAAAAAAAAAAAAAAAAAAAAAATCTGTTATCAAATAGATTGGACTACTACCCTCTGCCTGAAGCTGGAATGTCTTCATGTACGATCATCTGTAGGAAACTCATTCACATCTACTAGTTCTCATTTACGTTACCAAGACAGCCATACAGAGACAGCTTCTTTCTTACGAGCTGAAATCAGGTCGAACTACTAGCCTTTAACGGTCTTAGCAGCTGGCGGGTGTAGCTCATTAAAAATAACTTCGCATACTTCAGTTTGTCATGAGACTAAAAAGTGCATTTAATTTAGACTGAAATCAGTTACAATAATAATCTTGGGCAGTCATTAAAATTAAGATACTTATCATACCTACATACCAAGAAAATTAAATCAAATGATTATTAATTATCAAAGGTCTTCCGAATTTGCTAATAATTCAGACGCTAAAGAAGAAAATGTAAATAAAGAATTATCAAGAGATAATTTTCGAAGGAGAATAGTGAAAATATATATATCTAGAAGATTGGACCAGATATGAATGGCAAGTTACAAATAATTTTTGCAGAAAATGAGACCTTTATTCAGAAGAAAATGAAATCCTGCAAAAGATATACTTCCACACAAATTCGTAACGAAATATATTTTAATAGCACAAAAATGGTCCACGGATATAAAGGAGAGGATATCTAGAAAAAAAAATAGTTTATTTAATTAGCGTAAATTCTATTTTTACATTTTATTGCTCCGTTTTAAGATCAGTTGAGGATAATAATCTCACAAAATATACATTATTGAAATTTGCAAAAACTTTACGTATGCACAGAACAAGTTTGAAATACGTGAAAAATTTTGAAAAGGAATGAATTAAAAAGTTGTAAAAATGAAAATATTATATTTTCAAACGGAGAGGATATTTGAAAAGAAAGGATGCAATTCTATGGCGTCAATAGTTCTTCGAAAACCATTAAATATATTATACCAAAAGAATAATAGAGATTTGCTTAAAATTTCTTGAATTATTGCCTAGATTTGATATATTTTCATTTACTTGATAATTCCGATTTTACACATTCTTGCAAAAGGAATCCTACTCAAAACTGCTGCACATGTTATTTTATTTTTTGTTTCAAATTTATCTTAATCGGAGCACTCTTGTAACATAAATAAGGAAAATATTTAGTATAGTTCATTAGATCATTTTAAATGACATTTAGCAAATTCTTCTTCTTTATCTAAATGTAATTTGTAAGATTTACATAAATATGTTGCCCAGAGTTTTACTTGTGCCGGATATATTTTTGTTCCTTCTGAATAGATTGATCTACCCAAACGTTTCAATAGCATGTTTTCTCACATTTTCTTTTTTTAAAATCACATTAACGCTGTCGCATTATTTACTTTCCATTATGACTACTACTAAACCACTTAAGACTATCGGCTACAGAAAAAAATATACCAAATGCAATGTTTAATAAATACGACTTTTACGGTCTTATTGGAAGAAAAAAAATCTTGTCCCCGATCTTTTGAAGGTGTTTGTCGAATAATACCTCTCTCACCCTTCCTCTTCTCTCATGACGTAGCTAATTTGGAACTTGAACTCATAATTTTGAGAACTGAAACCTTTCTAACCTAAACCAAAAACTTTCTGTTGGTGAGCCTCCATACTGCATAATTGCGCACTTTCTGCTTAAGCTCTCTTCTAGTAAAGATGCTAATTGGCTCTGCTGTCTTTCTGAATCAACCTTCACTTCTCTGAACCAACGTTATTTTTAATCTTTTTAATTCCTCCTACTATCTTTCATATTTTGTCACACATAAATCTACTTTCGCTAGAGCAAATTACTGCTTATGAATATGGAAATATATTATTACACTACTTATGAATATGGAATAAATGTTCAAGATGGGAAAGATACTAACTAATTTCATACATAGATTGCTAGAGATATTTGCAAAAGAAGCACGAAGCATTTTTGCGGTTTTGTAGCTGAGGATGGTGGTTCGGTAAAACCATTGAAACTAGTCCTGTGAAAATTTTGAAAATATAACGCTGATATTTGTTGTTTGACTTCTGAATTAGTATTTATTCGGCGTGTTATTGTGTCTTAATTAAAAGAAGCACGATTTAACGCCTTTTGAATTTTATTAATGGAGAAGCTGCAAATATATTATTAGATAAAATATGAGTATAGTGTTACTTTTACTGAAGTGCAGTACGGACATGAATAGGGCATTTAAAATGCAAACTTTTCGTATTAAATATGGAGACAGGATAACATTACTGCTTGGAATTCTGAATGAAACTATAAATAGCTATTACGTAAGAAAGTCTGCAAAGTAAAATAATAATTAAAAAAAATAAAGTTAAATATAATTTAATTTCAAAGTATTACAGAGATTTCTTATAAAAGCAACCATTTAATAACTTTTGGCCTTTTTCCCAAAAATGAAAATACTTCAGTCGTCGGAAATTTAAAACCCAATAGCCAATAAGTGAATTTCTAAGAGCTAATTATTTATTTTTCGTTAAAGTTCTTTGCTTTTCTGCATGTTCAACAATTTTCTCGTCTACGGGAAGTCCTTTCCTCTTGCGGACGTCGTTCATATACTTTCTGGCTCTGTTATCAACATCGGCCTTTTCACCAAAGTGAGCGTATTCTTCAGCAGTCCTCGGGACCCAGAAGGGATCTACGTCCACTACCTGTTCAGGAATGAAAAATAACATTAACAGAATACATGCAATAAATTCTGCAAAAATACCAGCTTTCTACAATAAGTTATAAAGAAGTTTTCATATTAATAAAATACAACTGAAAAACAAGCAAACGAGAATTCTAGCAAAGCTAATTGACAATTAGACCTCTAATGATCAATCACTTGCGCTTTAGAGTTCGCATCAGCTTTTCAGAATGATTTCAGAATTCGTTACTTGCGAGAAAACAGTGCTTTCAAATTAAAAAAAAAAAAAAAAAAAAAAAAAAAAAGTCTGTAAGAAAACATACGATTTTAAAGAAGTTCCTAATCTCTACCATAGTCCAAGGACTTCACAAGAGATAAGACCTCTAATAAAGACTGGCGTTTCGCACGGAGTACACATCTTACATTATTATCAAATTTACTAGAAAACAAGAGCCTCTCGATTATCAGTTTATCTTATATTTCAACATCTTTCGAGGTTTTCGGATAAATTTTTCAGAAATAAAAATCTACGTAGATATTTATCAGTCTCGTAGTAATTCTAAGAACGTCTTTTTCCTTCCTTTTAAAATTTCTTTAAAATAACAATACCGTTAGCTGGTCTGAAGACAAATTCCACTCTTCAGGAACAGTTAGAGGGACATTGTTACCTATTTTTTTTTTTTTTTAGGCATACCGTAATCACCATAGAGAATGCAGACCTAGACTTAAATCGCTCATTAAGCGTGGCTAGAGTTAGTTAGGCAGTTTATGCATATGGCAATTACCAGTATAATTTATTTAATATTTAAAAATAATAATTATTCAGTGATAATTCAACTCCTTCTGTACCCGACTAAGACCCTTCCAAATTTTAGAAGAAAAAAAAAAAAAAAAAAAAAAAAAAAAAAAAAAAATACAGATTAAAAAGGGGGCTTATTTTTTAAGAAATATATTTTTATTGTTGATATTTCCTAGTTCTAGGCCACTGTAAGTAATGTACGGTTCACTCATATGATAGCTTCTTATTATGTTGTAAACCAGTGGTCTCAAACTCGCAGCCCGCGGGTTGCAAACGGGGTCCCCAAAGCAATTTTATGCAGCCCGCCAATACATTTCAGTTACGTATTTGTTTTAATACAGTACTAAAGAAAGATTTCGATATAGGATAAATTCATTACGCAATGGATTGCAATACAGTGTTTATTAACAAAACAAAGAAGATTTACCAGGCATTTCAGCCGTTTCAATTGAGTTCGAAAGCTAGTGCTGGCATACAGCCAAAAATACATACCTAACATATATAACAGTGCTGTGACAAATCCGCAAGCTAAGGGAAAAAGAACATCAATCATAGCATCTCATAAAATGAAAATTTAAACTATAAACATTAGACATATGGATTGTGTTAATATGCGTTCTGCAGGAGAGCAGAAAAATGAGCAGTGCCCAAGCCGGGATTCGAACTACGGACCTGGCGATTACGGATCGGATGTGCTTGCAATTACACAAAAGGCATGGAAAAAGAAGGGAGAAAGTACCTTATATACTCCCCTTTTAAACAGCGATTGGGGATGAGGGGATTCAATCGCCAAATCCTGGTGGTGATAAATTATTGCCCACCACCTTTCAATTCGGGCGCCACTGTAGAATCATTTAGAATTTTTTCGATGTCAGGAAACTAAAGAAATGTGCAATGCCCTCGCCGGGACTGGAACCTGGACCTCTCGAATACGCGCCGAGTGTGTACTGTTACACTACGAAGGCATGCTGGAAGGAGGGAGAATAAATTTACGATATCAGTTAAAAGAAAAAAGTATGGACTTTGTATGCTTGTGTGTCAGGCTGCATGGGATAAGGTGAGGTAATAATACATTTTTCCCCCAGCCAACAGTTGGCAGAAATTTTATATTCTGGTGGATCTTTTTTCCCCCTTCCTCCCTAATGAGGTGGTACTTTTACTTTCCTTCAGCCAATCACTAGTTGGTAAGCTGTATGTACAGCTATACAATTCATATTGCTAAATTGACGGGGGCAAACTAACGTACGGCTTAATAAATCCGTTACTGCTTTCATATGAAAAATTCAACTTGTTGAATTAAAAGAGTAAAAAAAAATACAATTATGAATTTCAATAACATATTTTATCCTGCAAGCTATGTCTTATTTAATCAAGGGTACGAAAAGTGACAGACAAAGAACGTATTTTTCAAGATAAATGGGAAATTATGTACTTTTGCAGCATTCTCAACAACAATTGATGAGAGTATTATTATCACAGATAAAACACAGCGTGTCGTTTTCGTACTAATGAATTTGAATTAGTTGAGGAATTACTGAAAATAATTATGAAAGAAGAAACTTTTGCACACAATATTTTTTCTAAAATAAAAGCTGCGATAGATTTAAAAAAAAAAAAAAAAAAAAATTTGGAACGGTTAGATTTACAAGTGATGGTTTTTCATGAAAATGTGTTGTAGAAAATATTAATAAAACACAGCATTTCCATTTGTAGAATGCTATGGTGTGTTTAATAGGTTTTGCGCTATGCATTGCATTATTCGTTAAGAACTCCGTACAAATGTTTGCAAATGCAAATTACATACGGAAACTTTAATTGAAACAGTAAACTTAATCCTGTGACGAGCTCTGAATTATCAAGAATTTGTTAAATTGCTTAAAAAAACTGACAGTGAGTGCGGAGAAATGGTTCCTTATAACGAGGTAAAGTAGTTAAGTCGAGAAGCTGTATTAAAAAGATATTTTGATTTAATAAATGAACTCCAAATTTTCATGAAGCAAAAAATAAAACCACCTACAAGGTATATAATGATATATGGATAAATTTTAAAATGATTTAGCATTTCTTGTTGATTTAACCAACCATTTAAATATTCTCAATAAAGAGCTGAAAAGAAAGGATAAACGTATCACTAACATGTATGCTTCTATTAAGCTTTTAATATTAAATTGCAAGTATGGGAAACATGACTGAAATTTAAAAAATTCGCACATTTTCTATGTCTTAAATCCCGACCTATTATTTCAAATGAAAAATTTCAAAAATACGCATGAAAAATAGCATTATCACGACAAGAACTTGAAGGAAAATTTAAGGAATTTAATGATTTGGAATTAGATTTTAAATTATATTCATTACCATTAAAAGTAGATGTGAATAACACTAAAAACTACAAATGGAACTAATTAATTTATAGAGTGATGATACAGATCTGTTAACTTTTATTCGTATTTTTCAAAATATAAATATCCTGAGTTCCTAATTTTTGAAATAAGATTTATCGCTTTGTTTGGAAATACATTTATAAGCGAACAGTTTTTTTGCAGTTGAAAATTAACAAGTATAATAAATAAAAGTGCTCGATCGACCGATGAGCATCTACTATCCGTGATGTAATTTTTCCGTTTCCAGTAATTTTTCTCCAAAACTGTAAATATTATCATACTGAAAACAACACCAAGCGAGCTGTAGTGCAAAATAAAGAAATGTTTAATTATTTACATACAATTTAAGCTTATGTTGGAAGTAAGTTATTTTGTGGTTAATTCAACATGGTAAAGTTAGAAATTAAATGCCAGTTCAAAAATTTAATATTTAGCTGCAAATATATTCAATTACACACATTACACATAGAAAGCAAATAATTAATTTTTGATTTTTTTCCCTTTGAGTTATTATTATTGTTTATGTATGTTTTGATAAACAGTTGGTAAGTACAATTCGAAAATGAGTTAAATTTAGTTCGAAATTTTATTAAAAAAATATGGTACGCCAGCTGCTTTCAAATCGTGCATGCGGCTTGCCAACTGCTTTCAGACCGTGCATGTGGCCCGTATGCAGTTTGAGTTTGAACTGCTTCTGTAAGCGATAATCACTATGGTATTCTGGAGCTTTCAGCCGTGCGCGGTGTGCGTTTCATTTTCGGCAAGTGGCATTAAAATAAGAACAGCCGTTTAAGTAACTCTAGCACACATAAACATTAGCACCCAGACTAATACTTCAATTTGTAATACTTCATTTTAACGAAATGCGTATCATGAACTTTGTTCTTGCTGAAAAACAAACTGAATGTTAGTTAGCACGGATTACTAATTTAAACACTAGTTAATAAATAATTAAAATTTAGATACTATTTCAAATTATTATGGCATATATAATCGAAAAAGAGCAGAATTGAAGTTCTTTCAATGACTGAAAAAGCAAAAAAAAAAAAAAAAAAAAAAAAAAAAAAAAAAAAAATATATATATATATAAGTATGATGTTATATGGAAACTAAACTTAATTTATTATGTTCTGTACTAATGACTTACAATGTGCAGACATTAGGTTAATTGGAAGGAGGAGAGATGAAAAATGAGCAACGCCTTCGCCGGGAATCGAACCACGGACTTCTGGAATACGCGCCCAGCGTGCTGACCACTACACTACGACGGCATGCTAAGAAGGCGGGAGAAATACCTTATAACACCTTATACAGTGATATATACCTTATACAGATTATATATAGAGAAATACCTTATACACTTCTGAAATTGTCTCTGAATGAAGGCTGATGGCTTCCTTACCTTAGCTTCGCACAAACTAAAATTAATTCTTTTTTCAAAACCAAGATGACTTGAGCAGCCAAAAATAATTCGACGTTCCGTCTTAAAATGCCACCTTTTTCTTCAAGGCAGATAATCCATGCACGTATCTGTCTTAATCAGTTTCCAATTTCTGACCACTTTTTTTTTTACATATTTAAAAGCTGATGAGGAAAATTCTCAAATGTATACACACAGAAGCGAAATGAACAAGTGGAAGTATTGGAAGTAATTTGTTGGTATCAGAAACGCAAAGACTGGCACACAATTTTTACAGAATATGATATTTTTTTATGAAAAGAACTTGCAAGTAGAAACCATAAAGTTTCTAAATACAGAAAAATGTTTAGTTCTAATTTAAGTTTCAACACTTATACTGTTTTCCAGACTCGAGCTGACACATTTTCTGCAAACTTTAG